AACGGAGGCGATTCGAGGGTGAGTAAACTGAAAATGACAATCTTTGAGGGGGAGGATGCGCACGGGTTGATTTACAAGATTGAAAGATATTTCGCCATCAATGAGTTGACGGAGGAGGAGAGATTGACAGCAACGGCCCTATGTTTGGAAGGGAAAGCTTTGGCTTGGTACCAATGAAGGGACATGCGACGACCCATACGGAGTTTGAGGGAGTTCAAGGATTGTTTGATAGAACATTTCCAAATATACAGTGGAGAAGACTTCTACGAGCAATTCTTCGCCTTGATGTGGGATGGTTCAGTGATAGAGTATTGGGAGAGGTTCGAGTACCTTGCTAGCCGATTGGACCGTCATCCTGAGACTATGCTAGAGGGAAATTTCATGAAGGGAATGACACCAAAGATCCGGGCAGCAGTTAGAGTGATGAGGTCTTGTGACTTGGGAGAGGCCATGGAGCTAGCTCAGTTGGTGGAGGATCAGAGACACCTGGAGAGGGACGGGAGGCAACAGCTTAGGATGCTCGTACAGGTAACCGCCACCTTATTTGTATCCAAGGAGCCAACATCAGATATTCTTCAGGGAACTTCAAAGAAAAGACTGCAGGAGAAAGACCTGGGAACCACATCAAGAAGCTCACAAAATGGAATTACAGGAGAAGAGGGCGAAGGAGCTTTGTTTCAAATGTGATGAGAAGTATGTTCTGGCGGACAGGTGTAAGGACCGAACTCTTCAGGTTCTTACCATTTGTGATGACAAGGGAATGGAGGAAGGTGTTGTCTTTCCACCTTGCGGACAAGGTGGATCTTTGGGAGGGGAGTATTGTTAGAGCGGTCCACTGGACCACTCCAATCGTTCCATACAGGACCGGCTTACAGGAAATAGCAAAAGAATTTTCGCCTTCGCCTCCTGTACGCAAGAGCAGATCGCTTAGCTCCTCAAGGAGCAATTTAGGAAGGTTTTTGAAGGGAGTTTGGAAGGAAATTTCAAAGTAGGGGTTGTTTAGGGATTTCCTTTTGAATTGTATACATGAAATTGTTTGTTTCCCTAGGGCTAGGTCATCTTGAATTTGACTGAAATTTGATATTTCTTAGATTTAGGTTTTTTTTTGCTCTAGCGACGTCTAGAGATTTGGGAGAGATAGATCCTCCTCTCGAATAGAGGATCAATTGTATCTTGTTGTTTTTCTTTTTCTACTAGTAAATTTCTAGTGTTTTCTTTTAGTTTTTCTACAATTTTGTGAGAAAAACTACTGTGTACTTCAGATTTTTGCTCTGTTTTATATTATTTTGGGTTGTTTCCTATTAGTTATCCATAATAGCTTTGTCCTCAGTTTCCCTGGCTTTGATTTTAAGTTTAGGTCGATTGGTTTGAGATGGAGCTGGAAGGTCAAGAGGGCAAACTCACTTTTCTCATCTTCCTCAATTTCAGTCTCCCTCTAAAGATGAGGTTTGGTGAAATAAGATTTTTGTTCATTAAAAATAAAGCCAAGATATACAAGGATTTTCTTGGGTGGAGGGGTAATAACATTTATAATCACTTTGGGTGTATGAATATCCAACAAAGATACATTAGACTAGTCTAAAATCTAATTTTCCTCTATTTTAATTGCGAATGTGAACATAGGCAGTACAACTAAAGATTATGGGTGTAAAGTTGTTATGTGTTCGGAATTCAGGTAAAAAAAGGATAGAATATCCATTGGTGTTTTTAATTCCAAGGTTTTTTAATGTAGTTAGTTTATGAGATATGTAACAGTCAGAAGGGCCTCCCCCTAATAGGATTTGGGTATATTGTGGTGGAATAGAAGTACACGGATGGAGGCTAGAAGGTGACCATTTTTTCTTTCTACAATCTCATTTTGTTGTGGAGTATGAATTCAGGAATACTCATGAATGATACTTTCTTTTTGAAAGTAGGATTTTAGGATTTGGTTAAAGTAATCCTTAGCATTCTCGGAAAGAAATTTCTTTAATTTTACCCCAAATTGGTTATGAATCATGGTGTGAAAATGGATGGTGCTAGCATCGGATATATTTTTCAAAAGAAAAATTCAAGAGACTCGAGTGTTGTCATCAATGAAGATCACAAAACATCGGGCCCTAGAGATGCTATGAATTTTTTAGGCTCCCCAGATATATCACTATGAATAAGATAAAATGGAGTAATGACATCTCTCATTTTTTGTTTGGAAAATAAACTCATTTATGCTTGGCTAACTCACAGGTTTCACAATGAAAAGAATCATTTTCCAACTTATAAAAAAATTTTAGATACATATTTTTTAGGACATCAAAAGATGGATTTCCTGATCTAAAATGATGAAGTCAAATAGTTGATATTTCATTAAATATAAATAACATAAAATAACCATTATTGATAATATTGGATTTGTTCAGCTCTTCCAGGTAGTACAATCCATTTCCCTCCATAGCAAGTCCAATCTTCTTCCTTGAACCCTTATCTTGAAATAAGCAACAAGTAGGGTTAAATAGGACTTCAAAATTATGGTCACTGATAAATTTTTGTATGGAGATTAGATTTGTGAATAAATGAGGTATGTGGAGCATATTTTTGAGAGCGGGAAGGGATATAAGGGTATGTCTCCTTATCATGCTACTGTGGTAAGAGAACCATCAGCAGTGATGATTTTTTTATCACTCGGGTAAGGAGTGTAGTTGATAAAGTGGGAAGTAGAGTGTGTCATGTGAACAGTGGTTCCTGAGTCAATAATCCATAAATCTTTCAATTAATTTTTAGAGGCACTTAATCTAATGTATATAGGAAACTTACTTGAAAGTGCAAGAAAAGAAGATGCACGTGATTTTTTAAGAGATACCATGAGTTATTTTAGCTTATAAATATATTATTTATTGAGTTCTTTGAAGCTAGACTGCATTTTTGACGTGGGCTGACTTGTTATAGTGTAACTTGTGATGTCCTCTTTTGTTCACTTCTTTGATTTCACTCCTTGAGAGCTTTCCATGTAGCTTCCAGCACGTTTCATTTGTGTGTCTTAATTTCTTTCAATAGCTGCACTAAAGTCTTTGTCTTTAAATTTTGAGGAATCCTTGCATTTTTTCTTTCATGGTGCCTCTTTGGTTGTCACCATTGTTAAACATTAAACAATTTTCAGCTCCAACCTATGTTGCACGGATACTCCTATTTAGGAGGCGTGCTGTATCGGACACGTGTCGGATACGGATACGCCTCCGATACGGCACGGATACGTGTCGGATACGGCTATGCTGTGTCCGATTAAAATATTTTTAAATTTGACTGGACACGCGTATCGGATATGCGTGTCCTATTAAAAAAAAACACGAAGCCACGATTTACCCTATTCTTTTCGACTTTCCACCGTTTCCGCTTAATATCCATATTCATTTATGCGGCTGAAACATTTCAAAGAGCTAGGTTTTTCATTTCCACGTACACAAGTGTTCATCTTCTTCGCTATTGTTGAAGGAGCGGCTCGATGACGCGAGCATAGAAGCAAATAGGATCATCCTTTGTCGACAAAGAGGCTTGACGACGCGAGCATTAAAGTCGTTAGGATCATCCTTCATCGACGAAGCGGCTCGACAATGCGAACAGTGAAGGTTCGTTTTCTTTTTTCGTTCTTCGTTTTCTTAATCATAGGCTCGGTATCGAAACTTGGTACCGCTTGGTACCGAACGTACTCGAACCGGATGTACTTAACTCCAGTACCGCTCGTTATTGAACTCGGTTACCCTCGATTGAACTCATACTCTCGTATCTGGAACGCTTCTGCTCGTATAGAACCAAATACCTCACGTAACTCATATACCAACTACCGCCGATTGCTCGGATAGAGAGAGTACCAAATGACCAACGCACGAAGAAGCTTTAAAACATTGCTCGATCTCGCTCGGGTATTCCTTCATAACATAAAAAATAACATTTTAATATAAATAAACACACTTCAAATATTACTCTTACAAAAAAAAAAATTTAGCCCAATAACAGTCGAACCACCCGCCAGGCAGCGCCCCCTTGGTGACCCCCCAGAGTCGCAAAATACTAACCCACTTTCCACTTAAATTTTTTCAGTTTCAAATTCATATTTTAATTATATAGATCCTTAGTAATAATGACTCTAGTGATAGGAATTGTCTGATTGTCCATCAAAACAATATTGAAATAACAAAACCTTTATGTTATGTTACAAAAATTGGGTAAAACATCAGAAAGAGCAATATTGCATTCAAATCAATTTTATGTAGCAACATACAAATGATCATATTATAGAGTGAAAGCCATTGTTGAAGATAAGTGTCATGAATCAAAGTTGCCGAAAGATAAGGCTCCATCACAAAATGCGAATTACAAAGAAAATCAGTGAGCTGATCAAAGATAAAAAAACTTCCAAAACTTATATCCACTTCCAAGCACTCATGCTTCATATCTTCATCATCTTCTGCAATTAGATGTGATACAGTCTTAAACAAAGGCCTTTTCGAATGGAGATTTGAACCATAAAAAAAAGAAACATGTTTAATTGCGGAGAAAAGCATTAATTTACAAATAGAAACAACTAGACAGAAATAAGCTAGAAGTTTTAACTCACTACTTCCTTTAACCTAGCCAAAAATCCCACATTATAAGAATGCCTTTACATATGCATGCCAAAACAATCTTGCAGATACTCCACCAGGTATAAGCATTAGAACGAAGTTGTGCAAAGAGAGGACAATATGAAAGGTCTCGAGCCACTAGAGGAGTTTTGGAAAGAAAAAGATTACTTTTGGACAGTACAAATCCACAAAGAACACCACTTATCAACTCATGTTGTAACAGAGAGCTTATCCTAAGTTTATCAAAGCTTTAAACTGTGAAGGACAGTACAAGGATAATTCTTCATTTCTAATTAATCAAAAAATTTATAATGTTACTTATTTCAATTTTTTTGTCATTTCAAATATTACACTTTAATTACTTTATGAATTTTTATGTATTATTTATATATTATAATGTCGTATCCGCGCCGTATTCGTATCCTGTATTTTTAAGAATTGGCGTGTCCCGTATCCATATCGTGTCGTATCCGTATCGCCGTATCCGTATCACCGTATCCGTATCGGTGCAACATAGGCTCCAACATTACCCCTCATCGGCTTTCCTTAGCACGAATGAGAGCAATGATCTCATTTAAATAAGGGTGTCTACTCTTTGCCAAGGATCTTAACTCTAACATGATAAAACTTCATGTTTAATCCTGCAAGAAAGTCATACACTCTATCTTTCTTATTAAAGTTTTCAAGATAGCAGCATCTTCTAGAAAATTGGCCTGTATGTATTTATAGTGATCAATTTATTGAAATAAGCTTTAAAGAAGAGTGACATATTCCGTTGTAGTCGTACTTCCTTATTTTGTGCTTCCCATCTTGACCTTAATTTCGAATATTTGGGAAGCATTATGAGCTTTGGGAAGGTTTGTCTGGCAGCATCTCATATGTCTTTTGTAATAAATAGGAACATAGATGTATTACTAATTTCAAGAGTCATAAAATTCCACAACCATGACATAATAATAATGTTTGCTTCATCCCATGCCCAAAAATTATGATCTACTTCTTTTGATCCTACTCCAAGGAGATGATTCATCTTTCCTTTCCTGTTCAAGTAGGTCTTCACAAATTAGGATCACTTCAAATAGTTCTTCTCATTTAAGCAATAAGCAGGTTGCAAATGAGATCTCCTTTTCATTGGTGCATTTTAGAGTCCTCTATTTGATCAAAGCTTTAAGAAGAATTAACTTCACACGTTGCAGTGTTAACGGATAATAATGAAGGTTATCTGCAAGATCCTGAGTAGCAATGAAGGCTGCCTAGAACTACAAACCTAAATTCTGGCAACGGCAATGAAGGACGATGCTTGTTGAGTATATAAGGAACTATAGCAGTACCTGTTTGGTTCAGTCCAGAGACACAAACAGGTTTCCACAATAGGCCCAATCCACCCCCACTATGAGTCACACGCACAAGTGGAATGGCAACGATCCTATTTGGCTCGATCGAAACTTCCAGTCCGCACGCAATTGAAACCTGGATGACTTCTTCCTCTCTCGTCTCCTTCCAGCTACACACGTGTGAGGGTTTTTGCAGACCACTACAGCCCGATTATTTCTTTTAGACGAGCAGCATGCACGCGAGGTTTTTCCGCCTATAGACGTTCCTGCCCGATTGTCTCTTCTAGATGAACCCCACGCGCAGGTTTCTTTCACTCAATCTCCCTCATCTCCATCTTGTTTCTCAAGAGATACCAACAATGAAGGCATGAAAATAAAAAAGAACTTCAAAATTTTGTAGGCAATAAAGGCTCTGATACCATGTTAAATTCAAAGAATTGGAAAGGGAAAAAGCTTAGCTTTATTGCACAAAATTATTTCTATTTATAGATCTATACAATATATCTAAATAAAAAAATAAATAACTACAAAATCATACATAATTGCCCTAATATAATCCTTCCTAAATCAATCACCTAAATATGGAAGAAGATTAGCATGATCCAGGTGGGCCTCCCACGAATTCCCATCTTGGTTGTGTGATCAAGTGCCAAAGAACGACTGAGATTTAACGTATTCTAACCTATCTAAGTTATTTTCCCTAAGGATTGGCTAAGGCCTTTTGACCTAAGTAGAGAAAAAATTATTGACCAAACCAAATTCATAAGACAAAGAAGAGTGAACACATAAGAAATATTACAATTAGGCTCAAGTGCTTAACATTAGGTTGAAATTATTTTAAGCTTGGTGTTGGAGCACGTTTGATCAAAAGGTCTTCAATATTTTTAGGCACAAAAAGCTACATGGTCAGCTATGATCATTATTTGGTGAATATTAAAAATACATTATCAATAATAGGCCAAAGTTATTTTATATAAATATGATGGAGCTGTGATCTAAATTAAAAAAAAAAAAAAAGATTGAATAACCAAACAATTCGTAATCAAGCTAATATTCCATTAGGGCTCACTACTATTTCCATATTCTTTTAGATAAGAGAAGAATGCACACATTAAAGTTTTCCCAAAGTATAAGACCTAAGGGCATATGTAAACGGCATAGTCTTAAAACTTAAAAGGCAAGATAATTTTGGAAAAAAAAAAGAATGTTCTAAAAGTGAAGAACTTCAAAATAAAATAAGCTTGAATATGGTGTATATATATATATATCCATTTTGATGCTAAGCATCGAACTGTAGAATTCTAGGTATAAAACTTTGTCTATATGAAGATTAGGATGATGAAAAGCATTCGCAGATTTGACAAAGAGAAAGTTGGGTCCAAGATACGTTGAACCCTTGCAAGTTATTGAAAGAATGGAAAATCTACTTATAGTTTACAGTTGCCATATTGTATGTCTGAAATTCACCATGAATTTAATGTGTCACTTCAAAGGAAAAGGGTATTTGATTTTAGGAATCGTATATCTGCTGAAGAAGTTGAGATACGCCCGAATCTAAGTTATAGAAAGGAGCCATAAAAGATTCTGGCTTATCATATTAGGAGAATAAGAAACTAACATATTTCAATGGTAAAATAGAGGAAAATGAGGGATTTAGGTGGTATATCAGTAAATACAATAATTTGAGTGTTAAATATGTATTTTCAAAAGTTTTGAGTGTTATGTATGTAAGAATCCCTTTTTTCTCTTTTTTACTTTTGTACAGTCATGACTAGTTATTATTTTTGCTCTGTTATATATTCCGGTCTGTAGCAATGTACTGCAATGCAATTATAATATATTTATTTCAATGATAAAGTGAAAAGAGAATTTTATGGATGAGTTTATTTTCGGTGCATTGGATGTTGTTAGTAGTTCTATGATTGTTGTTTGTTTTAAAGTTATAATTGGATGAAAATTCTAAAAAGTTTCCAAAACTCAAATCTTGTGATTTGTCTATTGCAAACCAACACGATATGACATGTTCAATATGTGGGTCTTGACAGGCTGGGTTATGACACAATACAATGAGCAAAATCTAGATGTTGCTTAAAGGAGCTACTACACAAGTTATATGTCTGAGTATCTAAGGGGTTGTTTGTTTGGCTGTAAAGTGAATGCAGTGTAAAATAAATACTTTGAGTTTATTTGGTTTGAGTAAAGTGAATGTACGGGAACTGATTTTTTTTGTTTGATTTGATGTATGCAGAGAAAAGAAAAAATGTGTCTCTACCAAAAATTGTAGTATTTGAGATATTTATCCAAACACCTTGAGTGCATTCACATCTACATGATCAAGATTGGTTGCATTAGGAAGATTTACACACCACTTGGAGAATCATCAACAGCAAATCCCTTCCAATAATACTTTCCAAGCCATTCAAACTGGTGGCATCATCCCCACATGTGACGTTCGAGTGCAGGTCATGAACCTGGATGGGTTCAACTTGATCACAGCTAAGCAGATCGCGATTGACATCAAAATTTTGCGAAATACTCTACCGTAGCAAGTATAGAGGCTGGATTGGCATTGTCCTGAGCTGAAAATCTATCACCTTGATGTCTGTCCCACTCGGCAGAGGTAGAGCCGAACACTTTTTCATACTGGTTTCTATCGACTCCGCCATGATCCTCCCAAAGATTAGCTGAAGAAGCCGAGCAAACGTGATTAATGATCAAAGGAACGACATCGAAGCAGTGAAGTAAGCTGAATAAGCTACTTCTGTAGAAGTCAACCTCATGTGAAGCACCGAAGTCTGTGCCGCGACAAAATAGAGAAAATTAAAAGCTTTCGTGGAGGAAGAAACGACGATGTTCCCGCCGCAGAAGGAAGATGTTGACCTCGATTTTGCCCCGACTCTTGGTCAAAGGGTTGACTTGGTCAAAGTTGACCAAGTCAGACCCCACGAAGCCTTGAAAATTCCATCTCTTCCTTTTCCCCTTGCTCTTGCCACCACCCACGCTAAGCAACTCAAAGTCGTCGGCCACCCTGCCTCCATCTTCCGCCGGTCAGCTCAGCCGCCGACAGCCACCGGCCTCCCGCCGACCAGCCTAGCAGCTCCCCATTGCCACAGCCTCCTTCTCCCCCTCCTCTTTCGAATTTCAAATCTGAAATTTGGGAGTTTCATTAGCCATTAAATGTTTCCTAAATTGCCTCCTTAATTCATGCAATCAAAATAAATTGAAATTGAATTTCGAATTTGAAATTCAAATTCAATCCAATTGATTGTTTTAATTTAGGAATCTTCCTTCCTTATTAAAACTTAAGTTTTAATTTAGGAACCTTCCCCCTCGTTGGGCTCCTCTCTCTCTCCTAATCACCCTATTAACTCCACAAATTCAGCCCAAATCTTCTCCCCATTGCCGCCCCTCTCTCCCTCCTTGGATTAATTTGAAATTCAAATTAAATCCCTCTCTTAAACCACTAAAATCTGAACTTTATTTCAGATTTCCTGCACCTCCCTCTTTGACTCACGGTTCGCTCGCTCGCCTCCCTTCTTTGGCTTCTTTACTTCCTACCACCATGCATGGCGGACCCCGAGTTTGAGTGGGGACTTGTGTTCGACGCCGACGGTAACCTCGACATTCTACAATCGCCATTCTTCGACGCGGGATTTGATTCCGACGAAGATACCGTTGGAGCTTACTTGGATCGGATCCTCCCGTCTCTCATCCGAGTCATCGACAGACAACGTCCAGACTCCGAGTGGATCATCGATGGCCGCCCACCCGCTCTTCCAAAACCGGCATCTTCCCCGGCAACGAGTCCTCTCGGGATTACTTGTCTATTAGTGGCATCGTTGAGTTTACTTACAATCCTCCTCCGCTAGCCCATATTTTCGAGAGCAATGAAAGGACCTCAAGGTGAAGGATCTATATATTAAATGTGTGGCATTTGTTATCCTAGCTATTTGCATTACTTAAGTTTTTTTATTGGATCTTATTGCGCAAAGGTTTTGTAATCTTTAATTGTAGTCGACTACCATGGCTTAATTTCTCTCTACTTTTCTTGAACTTTATTTGAGTAAGCTAGATTTTTATAGTGAAATGCAAAGTAATATTCTATTATTAATCTCTAGCGTGCAATTCTTAATTTTGCATGATTGCATCACATCAGCTTTTCTCTTTTTTGCTTTTGTGATTTCCTTTTTTGCTCAAAATGGACGGGTTTCTTTTACGTGCAAAATGAAGTATAGTTGGGGGGGAAACATTAGGATTTTATTTTACTTTACATTGTGTCAAACCAAACACCAAAAAATAAAAAAATAATGCATTTAGTTTACTTTGCATTCACTTTTCCACCAACGAAACAATCCCTAAGCAAATTTTGTAAACATCACCAAATGTCCAAACAAGCAAAATAAAATAAATTTAATAAAAATATAAAGTACATACATAAATTAGCTTTAATGAAGAATTTATCATTACAAATCTTTTATTTCCATAAAAATTTTAATTTATAAAAACTAAACGCTATTGTATACCTAAAACTTATTTTACTAGTTGATCAAATAACAGAGCTTGACTGATTTGGCCAATCGATTTCCATGTGAAGTTAACCGACCTGACTGACGCCCAATGAAAGGCGGGCAGTTGATTTTGGTCAACTGCTCTCTAATTGAAATCACCCATTTTTACACATTGTACAAAGTTCTAGCCATAAAAAGGACATGTCTTTTTATCCCAAATCTTCTCATGGCTCATTCTTATTAAATAGAAGCTCACAGAAAAACATCTCATCTTATTGAAGAAGATTTGTAACATCATGGTGATAAAAAAATTTAAGTTTTCAAAAGTTAAAAATTAAAACATCTCCCATGTCCCTCCTTTTTTTTCATGATAAGTAATAGCTCGCTATTTTTCTTATAAAAATACCATTCAGTATATTATTTAAATCTTTTGCAACTTCTACAAGTTTTGTTAAGGTCCATGATGTCTAAAAGTGCATAATGCTTTGTTTTCCTTCTTTCAAGTTTCTTCTCACTCTAGCCACATGCACTCTCCTCCTTGGAGGAATATTTATGCCAGTTGGCCTAATGTGATACTTGGATCTTTTTAAAGTTCTATCCTTCATTTAGCGAGGAAAGTTTCTCAAACTTAATTTTTTGGCTTTCTATTTTTAATATAATTTTGTTAAGCTTGACAAGTAATGGTGCAATAGTGCTCCCCATTGCAAAATCTCAATTCACTTACAAATCTCTTGTTAGAAGTATATTAGCTCTTTGGTGATATGCAACCATTTTTGCATGAGAGTTGACTCCTTCGTCGAAGAAAAAGATATTAAGGGTGTTGCCTTACCAGGAGAAAAGGAAGTTGTGGGTGGATCTTTAGTCCGCAAAACAGAATAATTGTAGGATTGGTGAAGAGCACAAGAAAAGGACTAATTTCTGTCATGGTCGTAAAAAGTGGTAGGCTTGCAAGGCTTTATTGGCCTTCACTCATGCTGGAGGTAATTGGTGGAATTCCAAATAAAGTGCTTGGGAAGTTGACTTGAGCTTGAGAAAAAATTGATCACAATAAATCTTTGTATGCATTATTGTTTGTCTTTATTATTTTTACTTGCATCACTTGGGTCCTGTAACGCTCTAACATTTGTTCACTTCATACTAGATGAGTTTATATTGCTCACATTTATTTTCCTGGACCTACTAATATAGTCAAGCAGTTCACATCTTAATTTGTGTGTTAATCTCATATTTTCCTCCAATTACATATTTGCAACTGAGCGTCTTTCAATGGTTACAATCCCATCCGCTTGGGTGTGATGATCTATTTTTGTCATACTTTGTTTAATTACGTCACATCTCAATTAATAGTTGTAATGTATACTCACTTGGGTGTGTTAATCCATTCTTGCAACGTTTATTTTATGCATTTATTTACAAATCTCTAGTCCACCCCAAAAGTTCGATGTATTGATATTTCATCTACATTTAAATTTTCTATTCCGCAATTTACTTTTGAAAACACCCAATTCATCCCTCCTTTGTGCTTAAGATGAAGATGGGGTCCCTTGTTGCAATTTGTAAACTTCCCCCTTCAATATCTGTTACTTTAAGCAACTTTATCCTTTCTCCTCAATCTTGTACTCCATATAAAAGAATGAAAAACTCACATGAAATATTTCAATCTCCATGGTAAATGATGAAAAAATAGACTATAAAATAGAATTAACTTACTCCAATGGAAACAATATATTTCCCATATAATGATATAAAGGATCAAACTAAAAAATAACAAACTTTGTGAGGGGATAAACCTATAGTACTCCCAACAAGGCCAAATTCATTTAAGAAAATGTGATAATAGTTTACATGCCAGGGTAAGATGACAATTTTGAACACAAATAAATAGTGAATTTCTAGAAATGAAAGACATCTATACCTCTTTTCCCATCACTAAATAAGAAATTCAGAGTTGTCTGATAATTAAAGATCCTAAAAGATCAATTATGAAATTAAAGTACTCCAACAAAAACAATAAATTTCCTGCATAAAGGATCAAACCATAAAAAAACAAAATTTGTGAGGGCATAAATCTATGGTACACCCAATAAGGGAAGTTTTGTTCAAGTTAAAAAAAAGTATAATAGCTTACATGTCGTGAAGATTACAATTTTGAACACATAATTATTAAATGTCAAAAATATGAAAACGTCTATACTTCTTGTCCAATCACGAAATATGCAATTTAGAGTTGTCAAATAATTCAAGATCCTAAAAGCAACATTAATGAGATCCAGATTTAAAGGCTCATTTATTCTGGAATTTAGGCATGATAATACCTTAAATAATGAAGGAATCGTCATGTGCCCCATACGATAGACCAAATATATGCCAGTAACCAGAACTGTACAAGCCACCGAATTTTCCAAATCCACCTTAGTCCGCAACTTTTCATGTTGGATAGCTTTTTTAGAGCAGTTGAAAGAATAATGATGCAATGCTGATGTGGTAAGATTCTTTGGAAAATAGAAAAATTAACTGCCTGCTACAAACATTGCAGATTATAACCTCAAAAAATTAAATGTTAATGAAAAAGATATATATCAAATAAAGCATGTTATCGCCAAGCATAACCTCCATAAAGGAGATGGGCTTAGGGGAATAAGTGAGCTCAATTGACTCAATTTTCACAAGCTAACTCAATCTCAACTTATTGATTAGACCAATAGCCAAGCTTATCTTACAATTAAAGGGTGCACATACGCAAAACATGAACAAGCAAGGTCTTAATCTAGCAGGTTTGCTAATTATCGAGGTAAGAACGAATCAACCTCTAGTTTGCTAAATTTCAAAAAAGAAAATGGTCAAATTTGACTTATTTATTATGGTTTATTATATAGACAAATACAAGCCAAACGTGAACAACAAGTAATTAGATGACCATCACATGCATCTACAATATTTAGATTGATTTTCTAATTGGCGGCTTTGATGAAGTGACATAAGTTTTGTGATTGTAATAGTGTAGGTAAGCAGGCAGGTATGCGCTTTGTGTCTAGTATGCACAGCTTATAAATCCTATTCAAATTTGACTAGTTTACTTAATGAATTAGTTGAGCTAGAGCAAATTAATGAGTTGAACATAAGTTGTTCAATAACATTAGACAAACTTGAAAGTTCTATAAACATGGCTCAACTTGCCAGCTCCACTCCACTCATGGTTGTAATATTTTTGGGATACATTAGTAAATGTTAAAAACTTAAGGTTTGAATGCTAGAGTTTAAGAACATAATGAAGTATCCACCCCTTGACTTATAATAACAACATTAGTTCAAGTAGGCTACCCAAAAAATCAAACTTTGATAATTTAGATTGATTGTGTTTAGCTTGAAATCAACTTGAAACAAATATCTTTCAAATGAAACCAACTCAATATCAAAATAATTTGATTGCACGTTGGCTTGAAATTATTTCAAGACAAGTTGGAAATAAGAAAAGAGGTGTTGGAAAAAGAAATTGAACCCCAGACCTTCTGCATGTATGAAGAAATGCTAACCGCGGACTAACTCATTCAAATTTTAGACACTAAGTGATGTGAAACTTACATGGGATAACATGAATTGCACGTTAGAGATTAATGAGAGTTTAACTTTGCAATGTTAACGATAAAATCTAGCTTACTCAAGTTGGATTCAAGAAAAATTTGTGATAGATTAAGTTAACGGCATTGATTACATTTGAGCATTACAAGAGTCTTGCAAAAGATAACCAAAAGAAAATTGATAAAGCAAATAGCTACTACTAAAGCCACACGTTTAAAATTTAGACCATTCACCTAGAGGTCCGGCAATCTCTCTTTGAAGTGGAGGCTAGCGGAAGAGAATAGCGAGCAAACTTACCGATACCACCAAGACACATGTGACACCGAGAGGACTCGTCGCCGGGGAGGAAGCAGGAGTTGGAGAAGCGGGCGAATGACCTTGGATGATCCACTCGTAATCTGAAAACTATTTGTCAATGGCGTCCACAAGGGTGGGGAGGATCCGATTCAAATAGTCTTCCACGTTGTCGTCGAACCCAAATCCCACGTCGAAGAA